GGATTCTTTAGGGTTTTCTATTAAAATTTTTCGTACGTGTATAACGTCAAAACAAAAACTATCATTTCATTTCCGTGCATTGAATCACGCGTTTGTGCTTCTAAAATAAATAAAAAACTTACCGACAAGCAGGTCATCGTCATCAACAGCTATTATATGGTCGATGATTGTTATTTGCGGAATGCGAAACAAATTAACTAAAAATAAAAATAATGAGCAGTGATTTCCACGGTTAGAAAGTGTGAGCAGACAACTACTATTGAAGATAACGATAATTTACAAAATCCCTACTACCAATGTCATTAAAACAGAGATCGTTGACGAAAATTCGAAGATCTTGAGGATCCGAAATTAAAAATTGGTTCCCACCTGCAGCTATAAAATGACTTGCCGCAGTTAGTAATTGATCAACAGTCAAATGATTTGTCGTATATAAAAACCAGACTCTTTTTATAATTTCTCCTTTCACAACAATTTTCCTCTGAAGCATTCTCCTGACACTCAAGCCACGCCGCAAAGATAATACTTCAGTTGAAGTAATCAGTTGAAGTTGGAGCAAATCTTCTAGAAAAAAACATTAATGTGATTAATAGGTAACGGTTCCTGGAATAATTGATTCGTCAAGGTACTAATATGTCTCCGTAGACATTGATAGAAAATAAATTTACACCAAACCACACCAAAACTTCCTGTACCAATGTAGACGTACCAATATGAAGTTGCAAGTTTCGTCACATTCTAAATAATTATACAATGTTGATACATTCACTCAACTCTTCGCGTGCGATATCAATGTATTATTATGCTCTTCTAACACAATGCACAATAATCTTCCATCTTAACGGTAAAGCTTACGGTAGTTACTTTAAATGTCAGTCGGTGAGGTTGCGAATAATGGACTCTGGTATTTTACACAATTGAAAGGGAGGAGGGTTGCACGCAGTAACATAAGACCTTTTTGAAAGGGAGATATAGGGGGCGTATGTAGAATTACATTCTT